TTCCTTGGGCAACCTATTCCAGTGTCTAACCACCCTCACAGTGAAAAACTCCTTCCTAATATCTAATCTAAACCTGCCCTCTTTCAGCTTAAACCCATTTCCCCTTGTTTTGTCATTAACTGCCCTTATGAAAAGTCCCTCCCCAGCTTTCTTGTAGGCCCCCTTCAGGTACTGGAAGGCCACTATAAGATCTCCCTGGAGCCTTCTCTTTTTCAGGCTAAACAGCCCCAACTCTTTCAGCCTGTCCTCATAGGAGAGGTGCTCTCCTATGAATTTTTTTCTATGTACAAATCCAAATCTAAATACAATAAATAAAATCATATTACATTCAGCAATACTAATAAACTTCTTCTAGATACTTCTGTAGCAGCTTTTGTTTCATGTTAATTAAACACAAGGAAACGGGTAACTTTTATTTCCCTCTGACAAAGAAATGAAGAGAGCTGTTTACTAGCTCATATCCTTTGTTCATTGTTACTACGCTAGGAATAGGAAATGGAAATAGCTGACAGGGTTTCCTTTCTGTACATCTTGCCTTGTTTCTTTGCAATGAAAGAATGTTTGTTGCAATAATTCTTATATACTGACACATGGCAACTGGTTCTCTGCTAATTAGTTCACTTTTTTTTTTTTTTTAAACAGTCAAGTCCTTCATCTCCAGAGCCAGCAAGTCTTCCTGCAGAAGACCTCAGCACAAACTCCAACGGTCCAAAGCCGGCAGAAATCATGCTAGATGATGACAGAGAAGACCTCTTTGCTGGTAATTGCTCTGTTCTAATGTATCTGCATAAACTCTTTTGTTCTTGAACTGAAAGGAATGTGCTTTTCTGGGAAGGAGGTGTGCTGTAAAAGGTCATTTTCTTGGCTGTAAGGAAATATGAAGCAGTAACTCAGGAATGGAAACTTCAATTTTAATTTTACAATTTAATATTGTAGCAAATCTTAACTGTTTCTTAACCTGTTGCAGGTAGCTTCCTGGAAAATTAATTAAGTAATTTATTAGTGTCTCTAGCTGTCATCAGTCAGTCTTTCCTGAGTTCAGCAATCATGTATTTAAGACCTATGATCTTGTGCAGTATGTTGTCAGGTTTATAAATTTGCAGAAGAAGTAACACACTAAAAAGGAAAAATAGCTGAGATTCTTCTTTGCTCAAAGTTGTTTGTTTTACCATTGTTAGCACCTCTTACTATTGTATATTGTTGTAAAACTGTGTTGGAGTGCAGCTTTTCTTTTCAAACTCACAGTGGAAAACTCAGTCTTGCTTAAGTAGTGAAAACAAAGTGATATGTGACTTCTTTTCAGGATTGGATGAGTTTTGTTAAAGTTTTGTTGGTAAATTAAAATTGAGATTTTTTTTTCACCAGATTTGCATGTGTTGCCTCAGATGTAAACACTTCTATTACACTCTTCTATTACATATTTTTTTCTAGCATAACTACTAATTGCTCTCTCATATATTGAATTAGTGGCACTTTGAGAAATTTATTTAATAGATAAGTTTAATTTAAATTTCTTAAGTAGTTTGACAATGATGTCTGGATTTTTTCTAGTGGGACTTTGTGGCATTAGTTAAGTTTGTTTGACGTAACTGTCAGTGGTGTATACTGTCAGTAATATCATGGCAGTATTAGCTGGTAATGTGTGCTGCTGACAGTGATAACAGTATTTATCATTATGTAATTAACAATGTTCAAATCTGTTTGTGTGTAAAAACATGACTTAAGTTACCTTGTAGTTTTCTACTTAATAACCATAGATAAGCTGTCTCAGTCTTTTTTCCAATTACAAAGAAGTAGAATTCATATTGTATTGCAAGCTGGAGTGTATTTCCTTCTTCATAAGACTCTTTTGTTGTTATGGAAAGGTGAAAAACTGGCATATGGGACCAATCCTGTAATTTCACTGGTGTGTGATTCTGTCTCTATTACTTGACAGTACTGCATGTTTTGGAGAAAGATGTGTGAAAGTTTTGATAAATAATCAGTCAACAGACAACACATTTCTAATGCTTCATCAATCAGTCACTGCTTTGGTGTTGGTTTTGGGCTATGCTGATGTGGATTATGCTTGCTGTCAGTTACGGGTGTAGGAACATTAACTCTTCAAGTAGGAGGTGTGAAATTTGGAGTATCTTACATACATCAGAAGGTGATTCTGAATGCTGCTTCTCGATTATAAGACTTTTCCTGTTACTACATATTGAGTGAGTCAGTTGGCAGTCTGCTTTGAATACAGTCATCATCTCATCTTCATTGATTCCCTGGTGTAATAATTTGAAAAGAAAGTTTGTAGCCTTTAGTTCTGGGCTATTTTGTGTAGATAGGGGTATACACATACCCATTACCTTTGTTCTGAACTTACTAAATTTATATTTGCTCATAACACTGTTAGAATGTATTGACTAGTTTGCTAACTCTCTAGAAGTGTTTTAAGGGAGAGAGAGAATAAAGAATAGAGGGTAATCCTACTTGCTTTTTATCTATATTACCTGATTTTATGACTTAAAAAGACCAGCAGTGCTAAAGTAACTAAGCTTTCTAGTAATTTGGTTATTTAGCTTCAGTAAATAAAGCCAGCTTTTTATAACCATAGAGCCATCTGGCATGGATATTTTAGGAAAGCCAGTTCTCCTTTGTATAATATTGAGAAAAAAGGTGGGTAGAGTAAATATTGAGGGGAACCAGACAGAAAGAACACATGTTAGTAGCCAGATTGTATCAGCTGAAATGAATGCTGTGAGGAAAACACACAGAAGTGATTTTAGGAGTTTGAGTTTTGCTATGGAATACATTGTCTTAAACACATGCAGCACTGAATTGAAAGCATCAAATGTGCTGCATGTCTAACACAACTAACACTCGTCTTTAAAAGGTGAATTTGTGTAAAGACTCAGGCTAGTACAAACTGCCAAACAAGAGGAAAAAACAAGAGTGATTTATGGAGCCTAAGGCTTCTTTCATAGTATCCTGTTCTAAGCAGGAAGTTTGCATAATACAGTTTTACCCTAGTGATGAACTTCTGTCTTTGTATCACTGTCAGAGTAGGCATTCTCAATAACGATGTCTAATTTGTGTTCCAGTGCTGTGCACTCACAAGTACAGCTATTTTTCTTTCTTAGAACTGTTCTGCTAGACATTGATGTTAATCCATCTAATTAACTTTCTGGTACTCATTTGCAATTAATAGAAAAAATGTGAGAATGCAGTATGAGATGTCTGTTTTCTTGCTTCCAACATGATTGCATAGGCCTGGCTTTCTATGAAAGCAGGACTTAATTTACAAGTGAGTGTGACTGGGTTTTTTTTCCTCAACATGTTGAAATTCCAAAGAAATCTATCTTTGCACAGCTTATAGGGACACTTAACTGAAGAGGAAGAGAATAAGGTTCCAAAGATTTCCAGCTTATGTTGTTCCTTCATGCTGAATTATTAAGACACTATAAAATCCAGGTCAAGGAAATTCTATGGATGGCTCATGAAAGGAGAGATTCGGACTCTTTAGGGGCATAAACAATTCTAGTTTTGTAGACTCACTTGTAAAAAATGTCATGGTATGTCTCTCTAGCTGTTGTAGACTTCATAAATTGTTTTCACTATTGTGTTGGGTTTGGTTGGAGGGGGCACGTTTTTGGTAGTGGGGGAAGGGGCTACTCTGTGAGAAGCGTCACGAAGCTCCACTGGATCCAAGGCGTACGCACCCCAGCCCAGGCTGAGCTGATGAGCACTAGAGAAACACCTCTGCAAATAAATATTTGTGAGAGGAAGGACTAACCTGAAAAGAAGAAGGTGGAGAGAACCTGGAGGAGAGGCCATTGACCTAACAAAAGACGACCATGGGCCTAAACAAAGAGAGAGCTTCGTTGCCAGGAGGAGGAGGGGGAGGACAGAGAACCTCAGACACCCAGTCCAACCCCATGGAGTAGGAGAAGTAGGCAAAGGCAAAGGAGGTCCCTGCAGTCCGTGGAGGTTCAACGGCAGAGCAGAGACACATGTGTAGAGCATGGAGGACTCCACACTGGAGCAGAAAGTTGAGCCTGAGGGCAGATGTGATTGAAAGTGGGACCTCAGAGATGCTCGATGCCAGAGTGGGAGTGGACCCCCACATCTGCAGGGTAGGAGGAGGTGCGCTGGACAGGAGGACTGTCTGCAGCCCATGGATGTCCCCATGCTGGAGCCAGGAGCTGTGCCAAAGAGGTCTGTGACTCCATGGGAAGCTCACGTTGGAACATCTTGTTCCTGGACTTTCATGCCAGGAAGAGCAGCAGAGGTGAACTGACTGAACCCCCATTCCCTGTCCCCTGTGCTGCTGTGGTGGGGGGAAGGTAGAGAAATCAGGAGCAAAGTGATTTGAGCCCGGGAAGAAGGGAGGGGTGGGGGAAGGTGTTGTCAGATGTGGTTGTTATGTCTCACTGTGCTACTCGGATGAATGGCAAAGAATTAAATTGATTTTTTTTCCCCAAGTTGAGTCTGTTTTGCCCATGACCATAACTGGTGAGTGAGCCGTCCCTGTCCTTTGTTCCTGATCCTGTGCCCCTCTGTTGTGTCTCCCATCCCATCTCACTGGGTGGGGGGAGTGAGTGCAGGACCGCATGGTGGGTCAAACCACCACAGCTATTCTGTCTAATAATGCAACCTAACAGAAGAAGAGGTGAGGGAGAACAAATTCTGTGATTTCCTGTACTGTTTTAATGCAGTTCAGAATCTGCACGGGTTTTTTAGGCTTTTTTTACTATACTTAAAACCTCTTTGCTATTGTGTTTCTGTGGCAGCTACAGGATAGTATAAGCAATAATATGTTTTGGATATTGATTACCTTGTCTCTGGTGACTAGTAAGTGATTTGGGTGAACTACTAAAACTGGGTTTCAAAGGTGGAAGAAAATGAGTTTTCCATCTGTCATTGCAGACCGGTAAATTTTGCTGCTGCATTCATTAGTATTGTAGTTCTTGGTTCTGTGAAAAAGCAGTCTAGCTAAACCGTCTTAAGCACTTTCACCCTTAGAATAAAAGTATGTTGATTATTTGGCCGAGAACTGATTACTTTATCATACTTCTTACATATGGAGATCATAATGGTCAGTGCTCAAAATCAGGTAACATTATGAGTATCTGAGGGGCTTTGAGGTGTGTCTTAAAACCTAACTGTCCATAAACTTCTGCTGTAGAGTGAAGAACAGGATACTGAATTAGTCTTGCAAAATGTTGACCTAAAGTTCTGTATACAGCTGCAGAAGCGTGCCACAGACTGCCTGTGCAGGACATAGCTGTCTGTGCCTTCTGCCTCTAGCGCTTGTAGTGCTTCACAGGGCTGTAAAGTTATATCAGTATTCTGTTGCCATTTTTGGAAAAGTGGAAAATTACAATTTTTCCCTCTCCTCTAGTCTAGTAAAAGGTTACATCTGATGTTCTTTTGTTTTTTTTCAACTCTGAGAAGTGTTTGGGAATGGATTGTCTTAGGCAAATACCTAGCTATTGTGTCCTGGGGGAAAGTCAGTGCATTGGGGTGGGGTAATGTTTGGTTTTGCTGAGTTTTTGATTTGTTTTTCTTCAGGTCATGATAGATTTGTCTTAGGCTTTTTTCACTGGGAGTTGATGCAGAAAAAGAGGTGCTAATTCTGTGGATAAGACATGCACTTGGAGCCCATCTGAACAGCAAAAGTTACTAGCTGATGGTGCCTATCAGGCTGTTGTCATGAGATATGTCTTAATCAGAAGAATTCAGTGCAGATGTACTGCTGCTTTTTAGATGCTGGTTGTTCAGTTCTGGGTCTCTTCTGCAAGATACAAAAGCATATAAACCTGCAGTTCTGAAGTCAGAGGGCGGCCTTACTAGTAGCTGACTGTTCCATTAAAACTACTTCTGTTCTCATTAAGATTATTCTTAGTACTCCTGGTATAACAGTAGGGGTCATGGGCTGTGACTTAGCTATAATAGCTCTCACAGTCGGTTCTATTAGGATATCTGTCTCTGAAATACTGCTACACCTGGACAAGTGTTTTTTTAATAACTCACCCTCTGTTTTGGAGAACAGTTTATACTTCAATTTACATGCATGTTTATGTGATCACCTGAGCAAAGTTTTAAATAGAATAAGCCAATTGAAACACTTGGGCTGTGTCAGAATTTGAGAGGTATGACATTTAGAAGTGTGACCAGTAAAAATAACTCACTCATCAGGAGAGAGCTGCTAGTGAGGAACTGCAAACTTGCACTTTCTAAGATGATGTTTGACAAATACTGGTGGTGAAAAGTAAAGAAACAGGAGCTATCTAATGCTGAGATTGAGCCCCATCCTTGAGTGCTGATAGAAACTTGGTGTAGTTGGCTGCAGAATGTTAATTAAGCATAAATAGTTGACTTCTGAAGCAGGATGAGGTATTTTCATGTTCTTTTGGAGCTAAGCATCTTGATAGTGATTCATAACAAAGACTATTTATGGACAATAAAGTAGGTATTTATATTTAGAAGTTTTACAGCATTAGATTGGTGGGAGTGCTTAATATGTGCTGATAACTGCCATAGCTATTGTGGGTGCTGGATCTCAATGTTCTCTGGTAAAAGTTGGGTAGAGCAGTTGCCTCTTTTTATGCATGGAATGCTTATGCTTTTGAGAACTTTCCAGGAAGACAAGACATCTAGATTTCATTTTTCATGTAAATTCAGAATATTTAAACCAAAACAAAACAACCCCCCTCCAAAGCCACAACTTAGTACCTAAGTTTTCAGGGGAAAATCTAAAATGAATAAATCAAGCAAAAGCTTCTGAAAGTGACAGTTTCTACTCTGAAATATACCAAATTCATCTTTCCATGGGAAAAAACCCCACAAAACAGACAGAAGAATTGTCAGTTAAACTTTTTAATCTAGACCATGTCATCAGATTTCTCAAAGTGAAAGAG